CATTTTCATGTCTGTGTTATTTTTAAATGTGTTCATTAAGGTTGTGAATCAGAGATCATTGGGTTAAAATGCAACAGCTGGACTGAAATAGAAGAAGCTTCTTTCAGGTTTCACACGTGTGTCTCTGCAACCTTTAGAACTGGATCAAACAGATTATCAGTGTTTTTGTTTAGAGACTGCAATGAAGGGGAAAAACATTTAAAAAATAATTTCTTGTGAAACCCGGACAGTCTGCTACGTCCTCTCGGACTTGAGACTCTGCAGCACATATTTGATCTCCTCCAGTCAAATTGATGATCCTCCGACTTCATTTCCATTTTTAAGATGAAGTCACGCTGAGGAAAGTCTGCTTGCACCCACCTCATTTATCAAAGTCCGTGTCAGTGCAAAAGCTGAGTATTTACCCTGGGACGTCTCAGTATTAGTCCACGTGCACAGTTTCACCCTGGGAATGACCTCGGTCACAGTCCCATTAATGTCACACACAATTATGAGCACAGTCCTGGTCTCAGTGCTCAGCGTCCAGCATCCAACCAAAAAATAAGCAGTCCACTGAAAACCGTGGAAGAGTTTTAAAGAGATGTTTGCTCTCAGCATGTTTCTCTGGCCAACAGTTTACGCCAGCTGCCCATCCTGATGCAACAGTTCCAGTATGCAGATGTGTTTATAAGGGGAAACCTGCAGTCAGCTGGGGCTGAAGAAGCACCTGGATGAGTGAGAAACGTTTCTCCCACTGAAAACGTCACGTCCAGATAAACAGAATAACTTTATGGGATGAAAAAAAGAAACAAGCTCGTGGATTGTTTCACGTCCGTGTCACTAACACCAGAGGAAGAGGAAGAGCACCGTAGTAATGCCAGTAAATAAAGACTGTGGGTGTCTCTGGTGATGCAATTGTCATAGCAACACAAATCACTCACGCGGTCCTGGCTGAGCTTCAATTAGCACTTGGCACGAGCCGAGGTAACTGCCTCTTACAGATTCAGTTCATGTACACAGCTGAGTGATCGCTCACTGCAACGATCAACGTTTTGATGCTGAACCGCACAAGCAGCCAGTCAAAGCATCATCTGACTGCTCGACACATGAGAAACACAGAAAAACATTTTCTCAACTTTCAGTGCAAAAGCAAAGCAGCAGGTTCACCGTACTGCGGTCAAGTGAGCCCTCACTTACGAAGTCACAGTCAAGCCGCCAGCCGCACCTAAAATGTTGTTGCACTACTCTTACGCATATTACGGTATGGGTG